GCTATCATAGAACATATCGACTGTTCTCTATTCATCTTTGCTAGAGATTTCAACAGATCGGATACTACTTTTCTCACCATGCTCGCGTTAGGGAACAGAAAATTTGCCAACCAAATTAGAAGCGAAGTGAAGTGATTCTCTGTAAGCAATCGGGCTCTGATTAGCAATTCTGATCACTCACATACACACAAACAGACACACCCTATACACGTTAGCTAGAGGTGGGAAACACCTCAGCTACTGGGTCGCAATACCTAAAAGAAGGAAGAGAATAAAATGCAACAGGTACAAGCCAACTGAGCTACCGGTAACGGATGGGCATCATTCCAGTAAGTTACCTGCGAGCTACTATGCAGCAAGAAAAATAATTTACCATGCAAAATAATGAGATGGTGGTTGGAGCGGAAGGCTAAGAGGGATGGGATGGGACAAAGAAACTCACAGCACGAATACCACTGAGGTCGGCTCCTAGTCATACCAACAAGTTTATCTAGCCAAACGCTTTCGTCATCTATCGGACCCCAACCAAGGAACCGAGACTCTCCAACCGAGGCCAGCTCAGAAGTGAGGGCCTTCATTCCTCTCGACCAAATCATCGCTTGGCCACCTCTCCTCTTCTTCCATCCCCACCCCAGACGCGCAAACAACGTACGTCGCGGGAGTCGGTGGGCTGGCATGCGTAACACGTGACCGAGCCATCGCAGCCTGGCGCGTGAAATACCGGTGCTGAGCGGTTCATTCTCTTTTCCTGGGCCGTAAACAAGGCGTCGAACAAGCTCGTTGCCCACGCCGTGTTCCCACCAGATGTGAGCTAAATTGCGAACGCACCGGTGGTCGAACGTAACTAGCCTCTTCAGGTCCACAGATTTAAGAGGCCAGGTTTCTCAACCGTACAGTAGGGTCGAACGTACTGCTGCATTGTACACTTTACTCTCCAGAGCAAGAGTGATGTCGCGCCGGCGCCATAAGTGCCGAAGGTTAGCAAAAGCACTTCGAGCTTTTGCTATACGGTTTGTGATCTCATCTTCAATCCCAGGGGCGCTGATACAACTTCCCAGGTAATTGAATTTTTGAACGACTTCTAGCAGATCGCCACCAAGGGTCAGCGCAGTAGGCGATCCAAACCAAGCTTGGAGGAACGCTTTGCATTTCGATGGTGCAAAGCAAAGCCCGAAGCGGCTGACAGCCATTGCTAATCTGCCCAGTAACGCTTGGCACGTCTGGAAACTGTCACAGATTAGGACAATATCGTCGGCATAATCCAAGTCAAGTCGTCGTTCTCCTGGAAGCAGATCCACACCTTCTAACTCGTGTCCTGTGAACGCGAATGCCATGACTTTATCATGAGCGAAGTTGAAGAGGAATGGTGACAGCGGGCATCCTTGTCTCATACCGCTGGAGATATTAAAGGGCGACGACAGCTTGCCGTAAGCCTTCGCTCTGCCTGAGCTAAGCGTGTATAATAATCGGGTAATAATTATATATTTCTCAGGTACATCTTTCCTGAGTAGACAATCCCAAAGTGCACGTCTATCCACGGAATCGAATGCCCCTTTGATATCGATGAACACGACAACGGTGGGTCGCCGATATATGTGACGGTGCACCAATAACTACCGCAAAGTGAAGATGTGGTCAATGCAGACACGACCTTGATGAAACCTGGCTTGCTCTTCACAAAAATGGCTTCCAAAGTGCGTCTGTCTGTGAAGGATGACAGAGGCAAGCAATTTGGAGGCGATGGAGATCAGACTGATTTCTCTATGGTTGTCGCATTCCCATCGTGAGTCTTCCTTGAAAATTGGGACTATGTCGGAGCGGCTCCGGTCGGTTGAGACAGTTTCACTAGTAACTCGTATAAATCATCCACAAGAGCAGATCCCCCGAATTTAAAGAGGGCTGGAGGTAGATCATCTGGTCCTGTGGCTCTATTTAACTTCAACAGTGCGATCTTACGTTCCACTTCTGAGCGAGAGGGTGGATCCAAAGGGACAGCCCACGGAGCGGGGCGGTCAGTGGCCGGCGAGAAAGTTAACAATTCCAACCGATCAAATTGACTTTCAAAGTGCTCAGCCCAACGCTCCAAGCGTTTTCACAAGTCGTGGATAGGCTGTCCATTCTCGTCACGTATAGTTTCACTAACACCAGGTCTTCTGCTGCCCGTTTCCCGTATGAGCCGGAATAACTTACGATGGTTCCCGAGGGCAGTGGCCATTTCCATCTCTGATGCACAATGAGACTACCAGGATTCGCGGTCTCTCTTCAGGCTAGCACGGAGTTTTGCCCGGAGCTCTTTGCGAGTTTGATTCAGTTCGCTTCCAGTCGGAATAGGCCGGTGAGCGTCGATAGGTTCCAGAGATTGCGAAGAGACCCAATATCCATGTTGTCGATTAGACTTGCCACATGAGGATTTGCCTGCTGCTGGTAAGGACTGCTGAATATGAGATCAGTGAGCTTCAACTGCATCCAGTGAGCGCTTACTCAACTCGCATGACAGCGTACTTTGATAGGCATTCAGAACAGCTGGTTTCGCCAGTTGGCTGGTGTCAATGCGCTCACAACGTCGTCTTAGGCGTCCGCCAAAACGCATCTGCAGGTCTGCACATACAAATGCATGATCACTAAACAATCAAGATTTCTTCGATGATCTATAGCAATGAAAACAACCAAAATATCACTCACTGCAATGACCTAAGGTTTAGTGGAAGTAATGAACTTCATGAAACATTGTCACATTTCGTTAAACGGCTGCATATACAGAAATTAGTTTATTCTTTGACTACGACGAATCCAAGTATTGTGAGAACTTGACAAGCCAACTAAGCTGACATTTTGACATCCACTGTCCTTGGGAAGCTCTCTAGATCCGCGTGAACAGGCTCTCCTTCCCACATCTGAAGCTGCTGTGCTGAATTCGTAGCAAACAGGAGCTACGCCGTCACAACCACATGTATATCCGGTCTATATTTGGGAACGGCAGCTGTCACGAACTCTGTAGGATGCTGAAACAGCTTAGCGGAGTTGCTAGACTTGCGGCTTATTTTCTGATGGGTGTAAAGAAATTGAACCAGGAGTTCTGTAACCGTGGTGATAATGTAGCTCCGGACCCTTCATTTGCCCAAGCTCTTGGATCCGCATACTCAATGGCTATTAGTGAGTATAACTGTGAATAATTTGCTGAGGCATCTAAGTTCCGGTAAAGCTAGTAGTCAGGACAGACTATCACAAAGGATGTGCTGACTTTTGGTAACGCCTCGTGTGTGTGTGTGTGTGTACAGTGTGTGCAGCAATACAAAATCGCTGATTGCTGGGGAAGGTACTGGAAAAAGTATACTTAAAGCGATGCTGTCATAAATGCGCTCGAGTGACTCTAGTTAGTATGCTCTAATCCGAGGGCCAGTCTAGATGCAGTGGCCTGCCTTGTACATGCCGTACTTTCATCGCCTGACAACAGAAACAGATCAACTGGAATGTGTTTCATTAACTAAAGCAACACATTCGGCTGTGCAAAACGCGAGTTGCTGCTGCTTCAAAGAATGCAATGCTTCCATCATCCATTTGTTGAGTGTTTGCTGGACGCACGCAGATTCCCCGACTCAGTGGTAGATGCCACTATCCACTAATTGCCAGCTCCGGTGCCCTTTATGGAGCAATTCTATCGTCTTTTCTCTGTTCTACTTTCGTCAGCTCAATACCAGTCCCTGAAGAAGCGACTCTAATAAAATATGCTTACAGCATCGTTCTGGAAATCAATCATCTAACAACCGATTGCTCAGTTAAGTTGCAAGACTTGCTGAACGACCTCGATGTGTGGTCCAAAGCTTGGAATCTGCCACGTAACGCACTAAAGTGTTATGTTCTTTTTCCGCTACACAAAGGAGCCAAGTACGAAGAGCTCCTCACGAAATGTCCCAAGCTCTATATCGACAGCGATGGACTAAACACTTCAACATCAGTGAAGTACCCAGATGTGGCATTGCACTAGGGTATATCTTGGACTCTTCATGCAAATGAAGGTTGTCGTTCTACGCCTCCCGACTGAGAGCCTCCTGTTCTTCTTGGTGTGATACTTCGTTTTGTACAGGCCCGTCTTCCTCCTCAATGGAAGTACGGCACCCATGTGATGCATTCCGGCCTTCAGGGGAAGCACGTTAGCCGGCAGATTATTAAGGCATTTATCTCAATGCAGCGGCGTTCCGATGCCCATTTGTTTCAAGAAATCATCTTTATAAAGTTTTATCCATATGTCAATGTACTACACAGAAGCACACCTTTATACACGTTCGCAAACAAACCTACCGCTCGTGGATCATCCGATAGATAGCGCGTGTTTTGCTAGACCCTAACTCTGTCGTTCTAGAACCAATCGGCTGATTCGCAATAAGATGGCGCTCTTGTTTATCCCTTATTAAACCGTTTTTAATGGCACTGATCTGTAACCGATGTCTTTTGGTATCATGCTGATCGTGCGTGTTGTGGTTCAACATGCATCCGCTTAAAGTGCATAAAAGAATTGCTTGACTAGACTTAATCTATGCAGATTGTTCGTAAAGATCTCAAATGAACCCACAATGGTTTGTTGGCATTTCTCTAGGACAGACCGACGCTAGCTAGATTTGAGAAAGATACAAGAGGCCGTAGCCTACCAGACGCTCATCTGCTGACCTTGCAACCATAGATGAGCCTGGTTGAATGGAACGAAACGGGTACAATAGAAGCCTGTGGGGGAAATGAAGTACAGAGTACTTCTTAATGGAAACCCTTCGAGTGCGTGGTAAGAGGGCGGGAACAACAAGCAGTAAGAGAAAGCGGGAGTGTCAAGCACGGATAGGATTATAAAGTCCGGTAGCGTCCTCATTGCGCAGACGACTGCAAGAAAGTCCGTAGCAACACTTCGACGCAATAGAGAAGGGCAAAACGTCACTCGACGAAAACAGAACAAAAAATAGAATACAAAAGCGAAGCCGGAGAAAAGGGAAGGACGGAATGGGGACACTCACCTCCAGCATAGTCGTTGTGGATTAGACATCGATAACGTTCGTACATGCACAAGCGATGCTCGATGCGCTCTACTGAAGTCAATCTAACAGCGTAAGATGCGTTAACCAAAAAGTAAGGCTTACTTTGGTTCATCTGCCACCTGGTTTTCCCAGTGTTCCAAGTTGGCGCGCGCATCAAACCGGTCAATTAAGATAGTAGGATCGCCTATCCAAGACATCCTGATGCGAAAAGGAGAATGCATAAAAAACAAGGTAGGCAAACCAGTTTGGTTACGTTTGACATGTGATCCAGCCACCGTAGTACGGTGGGTTAAAACAATAATAATGTTAGTGAACATGTAGGAGGAAACAAAGGTACATAAAAAAGTTAACAGATAAGAAATGAAGGACGCAACAGCTGAGTGGAGAGAGCAACAAGTGGAGGTAATATATGGTGTTAATGTGCTATCAGCTTCGCGACCGCGATACCCTGGGACCTCTCCAAATAAAACAACGAACGAACACATACGAAATACTGGTAGCTCAAGTTTCGTATTCAATTGCTGCGGTGCTCGTTAAGCTGGGAAAGCTGAATGCAAACGTTTCATCACCATTCTGGCGGAAGTCATTGGTGTAAAAGTTTGCAATCTCGTAAGAGGCTAGTGGAAGGAAGGTTTAGGGATCTAACCTAGGATGTGTGGCAGAGTACCTAAGCTGGAAGTTGTTGCAATTAACCTACGAGATCGCACCAAAAATCCCCTACTCGTGAATAGTAAAAACCCCGTACATCCACTAAATGTTATGCCCCGTACAACTGCTACACGGAAAGCCGTGGTCATGGGGGCCAACTCAGCGTTCTGCATGGTACGTAACATGCACTGCGGTAGAGGATAAGCCGTGGTGCATCGCAGTTAGCCTACAGGTCATAACGACCTGCATCGAGCACCCATGGCCTGGTGGCAAGCCACCGGGATCGAATGTACATGGATTCGCTTCTTGGTGGAGCCGATCGGTGAGCATGACTGAAGGGTCCAAACAGGACGCAACGGACGTCCAGTGCTTTTTCGGAAGCGCAGCAGACTACATGACTTGAAAACTACTGAGAAGGACCTTCAATAGAACTACACTATTACAAATCTGACTGGAACAGCTTCCGTCTGATAATTAGATACCTTGACTGTGATGGCTTCTTCCTTACAGACTGTTCAGATATCGCCGCTAATGAGTTCTACCAACATCTGACCTATTGCACTGACCTGCTTGCATCATTGCAATATAGAAGGCAGCCGTTACCTCGTCCACAAAATCCCATTGCGGTGAGTCTAAAACGATTGCCCTTTAAGATGTATGATGAAAGAAAGATGAATGATGTATGTGCGATCATACAGACTGATAAAATTCTCAAAGACTTGCAAGACCGACATGAAAGTACCCTTATGTCACAAGGGGCACAAGCGCTAGCAGCTCCCGGCTGCAAACACAAGTTACATCACATAATAAGAGTCAGATAGGAAGCACGTCATCAACCTATAACCATTGCCTCATCAGACAGCAGTCTCACTACCGACCCCGGTGGGCTCAGTGCATTATTTAATAAACATTTCCCCTCCTTGTTTAATACAGGCACATGTGTTGCACAAGAAAGATTGCCTCTACTCACTAGTGAAACAATAGATACAGTTGAGTTCAACCTGTATAACATTAGTGGGCAAAGAGCCGCCCAAAGCATTCGTATCACCCTAGACCTGATAGCATACCACCGGCATTGGTTAAACTCGCCGGGTCCGATATTCTCCTGTTCCCGCTAAACATATTCACCTTGTCAATTAAGACTGGTGTATACTCTGCTAGGTGGAAGCGAGCTATCGTCCTACACCGACACAAAGGTGGATCAAGTCACGAGCTATCAAATTATCGCCCCATTAGCCATATTTCCATATTGACTCGTATTACGGAAAGAATAATTAAAGAAAGAGTCGTGAAGTTTCTTAATTCACAAAATCTGATCGGTAGATCCCAACATGGATTCCTCTGTGGTCGTTCATGTCAAACTTGCCAATTTGAATTTCTCGACTACGTAACCAAGCCGGCTGACTCCGGTCAGTCGATGGTTATTCTCTTCTTAGACATGGAAAAAGCATTCGGCCGCGTACCCCATGCAGTACTTCTAACAAAGTTAGCCTCTTATGGGTTTGCTATCCCATTACTAGCATGGCTGTCATTTTTCTTGTCTACATGCACCCAAGGTGTCAGAGTGGGAAACTGCGTATCCTCACCTATACCAGTAACCAGCAGCATCATACAGGGAAGCGCTTTAGGCCCACCGCTATTCCTACTATACATAAATGACATTTTCCTAATCTTTCAACATTGCAGACGCTTTCTTTTCGCGGATGATATCAACGTTGTGTTCGCTTTTGATAGCCTAAAAGAACCAAACGGCGCTCAAACAATACAGATGGAACTCTTGGCCCTTCAGCGGTGGTGCCCACAGTGGAAAATGGCATGCTCTGTTGCCAAATGTAAAGCCCAATTCTTCATATGCAACTTTAGTAATGACATACTGACGTTAGATGACAAAGCACAACTATTCGTGACCTCGGAGTTCGCTACTCAAGCTCTTTCAATTCCTCCGAACAGGTACATCATGTCCCTGATAAAGCGAGATTTCTCAGAGCACGTATCTTCAATACGGTACGCTTGAAAGACTCTAGGCTAGCTATGTATAAAGCATATGCGCGCCCAGTCTTAGAATATTGTCCAGTAGTGTTCACAAATTTAAAAATGTACGACAAAATCAATCTTGAAAAAATACAACGTTCCTTTACCAAACGGTTACTAGGGTTTGGATCATTGAGTAATCAACAACGGTGTAAACCGCTGAAGTTAGAATCATTATGGTTGAGAATAATTAAGATTAATCTTATCTTTCTGTTTGATTTAGCTCATACCAACAGTTCTGGGGAACCAGATACTGTCCAGTTTGGCACTTCCCATCAATATCCAAAAAGAAATACATCATGCAGCTTTTGCGTCCCTGGAATACGCACAAGGTTGCGCGCCAAATTCTTTCTCAGAAGATATGCAATCTTATGGAATAAGCTGCCCGAATCCATTAGATGCAACAACACCAAGCAGATATTTCGAGCTCAAGTATTCAACCACCACACCGTAGAGGAGGTAGTACGTATACTGAGCGAATCTACATTTCTAGACGACATTTATGAGAGAGGCCCTACAGAACTTTAAAGGTTGATCTCCACATCTATCGCATTCAAAATTCTGCTCGGCTTAGATGTCACCTTGTACATTAACTTCTGACCCTGCTTATCTGTCCTGTTTATTTTCGTGCTTTACTTGCCCCACTTAAGCCACCGGGTTGACTAGCGTTAGAAGACTTCGGTTCACTTCGTTTCACTGGCTCTCCTAACCATCCTGCACTGGTTACTGATCATCTGATTTCTTTTATTGCCTTTTCTTGCTTTGTACTTCATATCATAACATTCCAGATAGTCGGTTAACTATTCATCTGATGAAACGGCAAATGTGACTCAAGCTGTTGTCACTCCACTTCCCCTCATCTTGGCCCCCATAATCTCTTAACTTTTATCAGACTTGAACGCTCGCCACCTGCTAATGACAACACTGGCAAACTAGTAGAATGAGCAGCCACATCCCTTTCCGTACATTATTATCATGCTGCTCTTCAATATTTCATATTCATTTAACCTAGCCCGAAAGTTAACCGTGTGTCAGAGTGGCCCCTGTCATCTCGGATAGCTGAACTTCCAGTACTTTCGATCGCCACTACACTCTACCATGGTCATCTCCATGAAATTCTTTTTTACCTGGCTCCATTCCCCACCATGCGCTTGTTAAACCTCAGGCTCAGTGATGGATGGATACCAGCTCCTATTTTTTCACAGACCTGCTCTTCCACGCTTATATTATTATTCATAGTTTACTCTGGCGTAATAAAGTTAACATCATTCAGAATAGTCACAGATGTGATGGCTGGTGAAGTACACAAACCTTACTGTATGCCGTAATAATCCGGAGTATATCGGCTATAAAGTTTTACACTACAATTCATGATTGTGCGGTACCACTTTCTAGACTTCGTTTGAGAATTTAGAAATTATGTGCCATCATCTAGGTCGATTTTGCTATTATAGCTGCATCGCAATGAAACGTTGTCATCTACCAAACGATGCACCCTCCCCTCCGCCAATGAAGCGTCCATGTTATTTCCGCGAGTTGTGCTAAGGTAACTAGATGCACTGAAACTCGGTGCACGGAGCATAGCTAACGAATTGAACTGAACCGAAACCACATGTGAAGCAACACTAGGGAGTGCTGACCATTGCGATGAGACTGCACCTAAACATGGCGCGATGGACTGCGTGCCTCAACGATCCAACAAGCTGTGCTGGTTGGTACTTCCTGCACCTCCCGAGTCACTCATACTAGATTTGCCAATAATCAGAGGCAAGACCAATTCAGTACCTGGCCATCCAAGCAAAGGGTTGGAATAAGAGTGGTCTAGTTCGTGAAAACAGGCTACACGTACCCCGCTACCAAACTTCCAATATTTTACAGTTATATTTTTGAAGCAAAACCTTCAGTTTCGAATGCTTGTCGTTCTCCCGCCTAGCCCAAGGCAGACTGACAGTATCCTGTCCACGCAGTGCAGTGAGCCCTTTTTCAGATGCTTTCTTGATGTCCTGGCAGTTGCAGAGGATAATCAACGGCGCTCTATCTACTGAATGGAGCAGGGTAGACACGGGTGAGGGTGTTACTGTTCAGACCATCCCGCCTCCTTATCCCCAACCTTGCGTTTTTTTATACTTATCATTCTGTTCCAACTACAATTTATTTCCCCGTTTCCAACCCTTCAGATTTTTGGTTCTCGCCATTTTGCTTCAGTAGTCGCTTATCTTCTAGTTCCGACACACGTAATCGCTGAGTGTCCCTCAGGGTCGATCAACAAGTCTATGTCCAACCAAGCGCATATCAGTTCATCTATTTCTGTTTGCAGCCCTCGATCTTCCTACGACTTGCATGCCACAACGTGCGCACCATCACAGATTGCCAAACAAGCAGTACTTGCCAGAACGTTGGATGCCTCAACAATCGATATTTGCTAATTACCGGAAACCCGTCCGCAAGATTCGAATTCCGTGCTGATTATGAACTTCTTCGCATGCGACACCAGCGGCACTCTCATTGCGCTTATCCAG